AACACTACTAAAGGACATAGTATCTTCACACTAGGGTTTCAGATGTTAAATGAACACACACTAAAGGTCATATTATCTTCACTCTGGTGTAGTGAATGTTAAGTCCCGGGAATGAAGGTCTTGGAATCTTCACACTGGTGTAATAAAAGTCACATAACTTTTGTTTTATATTTATACACTGATAGACTGATTCGTCACAGTTTGTGTTCAAGCTGATTAGGTGTTAACCACACACGATTACATAATCGTCCTAAGTTCAAGAAATTCGGGTAGTTTAAATTTATTAGAAAATTAAACTCTACCAAAAACTAAAAAACAAGTGTGTTAAAAAAATAACATAAGAACGTTAGAAGTATTCCGAAAGCAGAAAATCTTTGTACAGTTTTAGGGCTAACCCGTACTTGGCTGGTAAGTCGTAGACGTTTCTGACAAGATCCCTTAACAAAATGACTCAATTGGATTATACGAGGAACCATAGGTGATGATTTTGTCCAATATAAAAACAAATTTAAATCGTTATATTTAAATCCAATATAAAGTTAAATCGTCAAGAAATAACTTACATGAACCGGCTATTCTTATCGTCAACAAATAACTTACACGAACCGGTTGTTCTTATCGTCAACAAATAACTTACACGAACCGGTTGTTCTTATCGTCAACAAATAACTTACACGAACCGGTTGTTCTTATCGTCAACAAATAACTTACACGAACCGGTTGTTCTTATCGTCAACAAATAACTTACATGAATCGGTTGTTCTTATCGTCAGCAAATAACTTACATGAACCGGTTGTTCTTATCGTCAACAAATAACTACATGAACCGATTGTTCTTGGAATACCTTAATTATAAACTGAAAATAAACAACGGTAAAAAAAAAAAGGTTCAACTGATGAACATTATATCAAACAACTGGCAATTCCAAGCTTTATGTTAAGACTTTCATGTCAGACCCGAGTAGTTAACAACAATGGAAAGAAATTCATTTTTGTGAAGGCTACATTGGTCAGTTTTTTTTCTTCTTCTTTAACATGCCAAGAAGAGAAAACTACGAAACTCCTTTCAGGAATTTATATCAAGAAACACTATAGTATGTCTAATGTTTTCCTTATTGACTCACGATCTCTCTCTCTGTATATATATATATATATAAAGAGAGAGAGAGAGTTAGTTATCTGTCTGGTGTCACAAGTTGTTATGAGGACCTGGCTGTGTGAATATCGATGAACTTTGGTAGAAAAACTCCTGAGATAAGTTGAAAATAGACAAGCAATCGGAGGAGCGGTTCGAGATTGACAGTTATTTCAATTTTAGCGCCTTTTTTTTCAGCAAATGAGGGCTCCAATTATGGAGCAATATACATGACGTTGGTGCTAAACGACAGCGAAATCTAATACCACGTGTATCGCGGGTACCTTTGTTTCGAATGAACAGTTCGCGTGTTACGGCTCATAATAGAAGAAAGGGATGGCTCACGCCCCCACTGATAACATTACTTTTTTAAGCTCTGCATTGCTGGATACCTTTGTTAGTGCATTTCTATGTTCAATTAAACTGATCTACTTTTACACAGACGCTTTGTTCATATATGTATAAGATATTGATGGAAATTTATGGCTCGGTAAACTTTAAGAGTAATGAAACGTATAAGATGTTAATTGTACGTATAATAATATAATTAGAGACATCGTTTGTTTAGATGGTTTCATTGGTTAACAATTAAATACATCGTTTGTTTAGCTAATTGTATTGGCTAACAATTAAATACATCGTTTGGTTAGCTGATTTCATTGGTTAACAATTAAATACATTGTTTGTTTAGCTAATTGTATTGGCTAACAATTAAATACATCGTTTGGTTAGCTCATTTCATTGGTTAACAATTAAATACATCGTTTGTTTAGCTAATTTCATTGGTTAACAATTAAATACATCGTTTGTTTAGCTGATTTCATTGGTTAACAATTAAATACATCGTTTGTTTAGCTGATTTCATTGGTTAACAATTAAATACATCGTTTGTTTAGCTGATTTCATTGGTTAACAATTAAATACATCCACACAGAAGAGGAAAGTTTCTTATTTGTTCGTTCAACCTTTCTAGTTCTTATTTTTCATGATGTATGTATTCTATTTAATGTAACTTAATTATATATGACTCTGTCAAAGGACGTAGTTCCATCATCATCTCTCGACATTTAGCTTTCCTGTTTCTAAAGACTAATAATGAAAGACGAAATACCTCAAAACTCTTTATTTTGGTCTTTGATAAAATAAGTTATAATGATTCCTTGAATGAACTGATATTTTTTTGACGATAGTTAAAGATAGTTTCACTGTTACTTTCTCAGTAATACTAGTGTATAATGATTATCTCCGAGAGTTTGTACAACCCTTGGCATTTTATTTAGATTAAAGTTTTGGGTGTAAGAGTTTGTTTGTTTTTAGAGCAAAGCCATCGCGGAGAATCGAATCCCGAATTTTAGCGTTGTAAGTCTGTAAACTTACTACTGTCCCACCTAGGGACTAGTGTAAAAGTTTGTTTTTAAAGCAAAGCCACATTGGGCTATTTGCTGTGTCTATGTCTACCGAGGGAAATAGAACCTCAGATTTTAGCGTTGTAAGTCTGTAAACTTCCCACTGTCCCACCGGGGAGTCCACAGTGGCACAGCGGTATGTCTGCAGACTTAAAACGCTAGAAACCTGGTTTCGATACCCAAGATGGGCACAGCACAGATAGCCAATCGTGTAACTTTGTGCTTAAGTTCAAACAAACAAACTCACAGGAGGACTGGTGTAAAATATTGTTTTTAGAGCAAAGCCACATTGGGCTATTTGCTGTGTCTATGTCTACCGAGGGAAATAGAACCTCAGATTT